TATATGTGTGTGTGTGTGTGTGTGTATATGTCTTGGCTTGGAGCAGTGACTTCCTGGTAGGTGTATTTTGTTACCTTTGGACAGAGCCTGACTAGCTGTTTCCATCTGTTTCCAGTCTTTATGCCAAGCTAAGATTTCTGTTACTGAATCTTCAATGAACTGAGATTGGTATTGATCTTCCTATCCAACTCTTGGCAAGAAAGCAAATAGGTTTATGTCCTGAAATTTTAAACAACTCATTGATATTGTTTTGTCAGATATCTGATTTGACTGGCTATTACCTTCAGTTTTGTTGACAGTGTCTTCACTGCTTGAGTCAGTTAGATGTGTGGAATTGTCTCACATACACATGGCTTAATGTGCTGCTCAAGAGGACTTCAGTTTACTTGGCAAATGCTTTTATACTGTACATTTGACGCACAAAGTAGGTGTCTGTAGAGGGTATTTAGTCCTTTACTAGACTGACAGTTCAATCATTTTACAATCTTTCAAATGATCTCTCTCTCAACCAGAAGACCTTGATGTGACAGAAGACAGGGTTGTGTACGGGACCGAGAACAACAGCACCTTCCTCGAGTGTGTTCCTCGCTCTCCACAAGCTACTGTTACCTGGCTGGTCCAACGTGATGACCGCAAGGAAGAGGTAAGATAAGTGTAGCTATCAGAACAAAATCATGATTGTAATGATGAAATGCCAACCTGTGCTATATGATAGGAGGGAGGTGGGGAAGCTTTGGGAGACAAATGAGAAGATGAATGAAACTTCTGGCCGGCAATGGCCAAAGTAACGGCCTTTAACTGCCTTTAAAAGTGAGATTTGTATGTGAATTTGGCACGTGGTTGAAACATTTGACAGCCATTTGGCATGTGGTTTCATTTAAGCAGTTATATTTCAAAGGAAAATGCACAACCACTCTTTCTCTTGGATAAACATGTGAATTCAAACCTTGACCACATGTTATTGAAAGCTGAAGTGTCACTCAATGTCTACTTGCCACTGAGACTTAAACACAGCGTTACAAAGTTCTTTTAAAACTACGTAGAAAATTATGTCACACTGCGTTTGCCCACACCCACAGTAATCATTCATTTGTTCGAGGGTATGTTTCTCCAAGCTTAATCGAGTGTCTCGGTCAGCCATGAGAGTATTAAGGCATTACCACCCCTCTCCATTTCCTTGCAAATAAACATTTGGCTGCCACTCCAGCTGACAAGGCTGCCATGTTTGTGTTGGCACAGAGGGATAGAATCTGAAGAGGGGAAGGAAAGAGGTAAATAGAGAAAAGAGAAGTATAAATGAATAAAGGAGAGACTTGGGTTGAAGCTACATAAGGAAAGAAAGAGAGAGTGAGAGAAGGAGTGAAAACTAACAGTGACTGGATTTCATGCAGCATTCTTGCTCTTGCAATTCAAGCTGAGAAAACAGTACAATGAGTCCCATTCGCCCTCTTTCTTCTCTCATGCTGTGAAGTGGATTACATGCTAGTTGCCCAATCATTCCTGATTTCTTTTTTATAGCTTGTTTGCAGCTGCCAGATGAATGGGCTGAAAGCAACACATTGAAAGCACAGTTGTCACAGGGATTTCTCTGACAAAGATATCTACCATCAGAAGAATTTCGAAGATGAAGATGCTTTAGTCCCATGAAATCTAGTAGCTTTAGAAATCTATCTTTTGCCCTGCTGTTTTGTTTATTCATTTTAATCTTTACATTTTTGTCAAAAGGCTTTGAAAGTTTTATATACACTAAAACGTAAATATCTTGCACAGGCAAATATTTGTGACATCCACAGATTCATGGTGAAATCAAGTTCAATTGATTTTATTTGAATTTTAAATATAACAAACTTTGCTCCCAACTTTGCATGCAAAGCGTAACAGAGCTAGAATCCATGCTGCTGTAAGGTTCAAAATATATTTGTGTCCCAGATGTTTCTTTTGCACCTCATTGTAGCGATGTGACTACATAATTGCAATAAAATTTCAAACAAAACTGTGCTGATTTTTCAGTAAAATTCAAGTGAATATCTGTGATTCTTTAGTATGTTAACAGTATGTTGTTTTCTCTTGCATATAATTTGTAAATAGGAACATATTCTTCCTCTGCCTCACTCAGGTAAAGCTGGATGAACGCGTGATGTCCACTGAGCAGGGCCTCCTGTTTCGTCGTCTCTTCCGCCAGGACGAAGGCATGTACATCTGCCGCTCCCGAGAGCATGGCTTCACGCAGACCCTGGCCCGCCTCACCCTCGAAGTCCTTCAGGGGGAGACTGTGGACGAGCTCGTGGCACGCGACAATGCTGGCCTCTCTGACTCGTTCAAAGACCGCTCCACAGGAAGCTACAGGGCCTGGATGCCTTGTAGCGCATACAGCAGGGGAGGCTCATCAAGCCAAATTGGTCAGTCCCGTACATGGTTCAAGGATATCATGCAGCTGATTGGGCCGTCAAACCTGCCACACGTGGAGGAGTACTGCGAGAGGATGTGGTGCAATGACAAGCTGAGGAGGAAACACAAGAGCATGCTGGAAAAATACCGCCAAGCACAGGAGAGTGCCAGAAAGGCACGTAGCAAGAGCTCTGGAGAACGTAACCGGACGCCGAGGGACCTCAGCGCTTTGGAGGAGTAACAGCGAGAAAGTGAGCAGGGGGAAAGGAAGAGAAAAGGGACAAAGATTGCAGTACAGGACAAGATGAACTGGGCAGCAAAAAGGGTCAGGACCAGAATCAGTTCCTAATAGTTGAAACTTTGGCGCTTGGGTTTGTAAGAATGTGGTAGATCAGAACAGAGCATCTGCTTTGGCCATTAAACCTAACAGAATGGATTTTGTGAAATCAGTGTATGTGTAGGTCAGGTGCTAGGGGTTGGTTCTGGACATGGCCCAAAAAACACAGAAGTGTTCGGTTGTCTGTAAAGACGGCACAAAAAAAGACTGCTACTGAACTGAAGAGACTGTTGCTAAAAAGAGGAGACGAAACACTTTTAGGATGCTTTTTAAAAATCTTGATTAACAAGGACTCCTCCTGCTCCCACACTTGTATACTTTTACGGTTAAAAACGCCTGACACTGCTTCCATTTTATCAAGTCATATAAAACCTTTACAAACCTCAGACTTAAAGAAGGTATGTGTGCCTGTGGACTGACTCTGTAATGAACAGTTTGGGTTGGCTTTTGGCAAATTGGAGCTTCAAAAGAGAGGAACATCACATTTACATACTTTGCATCTTTGGACTACAAAATAGCAGGTTTGTCAAGTGTAGCACACATACATTTACTTTCACTGGATTCATCTTCTTCTCACTTGATATTTAATGGTCCAAGTTTCTTGCCTTGCTCTGCACTTAGCTGTTTTTTTTTTTTTTTTTTTTAAATGAAATATTCATGCATGACTTCAGCTCAAAACATAACTGAGTTTGCAGTGTATTTATAGGAGGCATATGCAACTAATTCACCCAGGCTTAGAGACTTACCATGTCTGATCTTGCCACTGTACTTACACACACACACATACACACACACACACACACACACACACGCTTAAATAAACTGAAATCCCACTCACCCATAACACTGAATGCATAAGCTCAACTAGCCCAAACTGGAAGCTACCATGGGACGACTGTTGATGGTTCAACAGATTAAAGGCACATTGCTTTATTTTTACTGCTGTGGGTTGAACTTTCCATTAAACACCAGCTACAGATCAACATTCCCCCCTCACTGCCCTTGAAGGGATCTTTCAAAGCGGCTTAATGTCTTGTGTTTCAGGTTCTTGGGCACATACTGTAAGGAAGAACCCTTTAGCAGATCTGAATCACAGGGTGGATACACAAATCATTTTTCACTCTTTTGTTAAATTTGCAATATACGATATTCACTTTGAACATTACAAGCAAGCATGAAGGTGGCTAAGATGAGATGGTGATGGCTAGCAGTGCAGTTCTAGCAACAGTGCTGAAAGAGTTAACAGTGATAATGGGGGTTAGATTACAATCACCGGGTGACCTGGGGGGGAACTGGAGGGTGGGTGTATCACTTTACTGCCATTCCGCCACTGTGAGTTGGGGGCGGCGTTATTAGGGGTGCTAACAGTGCTAACAATGGCAACAGGGCTGAATGAGCTAACAGTTGAGCTAACACCGATATGAACAAGTTCAAAGAAAAGGAGGGCTGGAGGGACTCACATGCATATGCAGCTGGATTGGTACCACAACAAAGAACAGAGAAACCCAGATCACAACACACACAGAGTGTGCCTTCATTATCTGGTCAGGATGTCATTTCTCCACTGTATCTTTACATGGCAAACAAGTGTTTGCTGCTATGTTCTGAATGTCGTATATTGCGCGTTCGGCAATGCGTAATAGGGCATTTGGCCTCTGTAGTTTTTTTGCTGTGCATTTAGTAGTCAAAAACCATCCATTAAAAAGAGAAATTACATAACCTGACCTCTCTGACATAGCCTCACCTCACACTAAACTCATTTTCCCACAGTTCCTCTATGTGCTGTCGCTCTCTACTGACAATAGAGGGAACAATAGAAGGGGTCAGCTGTAATGGCCGACTCCTCCTATGCTTTCTGCTTTGTAAACACCAGTTTTAAGACGGTTCATGGTTTGAACACATGATAATCCACATTGTATTGTCTTCAAGGTTTGTTGTTAAAATATAACTTTTATGGAAAATGAATCCAAAAAAGGTTTTCCTTCCACAGATGACAGCTGGAAAAGAGAACAGAGGGTTGAACTGATTAATGGGACAGAAAAACACAGATAAAGAGAGACAGGGCGGATTAATAAAAGACTGGCCTTGAATGGGGTGAGATGTGAGAAAGCAGGCGGCAGGCGAACGAATGCCAAGCTTCAGTTTCAGTGAGGTCAGTGTGGATGGGCGTGACAGAGCTTCAGTAATATAAGCTATCAACAATAATCAAACTGAAGCAGAGAGAAAATGTAAATACAATTGTGTAAAATGATTTTCTTATTGAAATGAGTTTTAAGAGTTTCTGTAAACCGTATCATCCATATGTAACAATTAACTTACATTAATGAAGGCTTTCAAGTTGCTACTCTAGCAACCTCCTATGGCACCACCATGGAGGTCCAGGGGAGAGCTGTGCATATGATGGGTTACATGTAGTGCACAAAATAAACAATAAAAAACATGTGCTTATAATGTGTCCATAGCTAATAATTGCCAGATGAAATACTTTTACTTATTTCTTGAATCTTGCACCTTTAATCTTTGCCCCTGCACATGTCTGTATATGCCAGATATCCAGGCTGATATTACCGACCTTTGAAGTGTGATAAATTAAATGTTAATCAGGGGGTAAAATCTTCAGTTTCCAATTATGAACTGTACAGAAGTTACCCATACTTATTGGATTCATTTGAAGACAGCTACACACATGTAGTCACAATCAGCTGTTCACAAATTGCCTTTTGTTGCCAAAGAACTGAGGACCTCCAATATGGCTGCCAGAAGGTGAAACCCCTGTGACATGTGTACATACGGAAGATGGTATCGATATTGTGGGAGCCCTCTCGTTGTTTAAAATTAGCCAGGAAACAACATTAACACCAGTGACCTTTTTGTAACCTTAATGGCGTGTGAATGACCTCTGAGAGGGGAAAGAAAAAGAGAGGAGGAGTAAAGGTGGAGAGAGGAAAGGAGACATTAAAAGAATGAGGTACTATGCGCATCTTGTGAAGTCTGTATTCACAGTTTATTTAAAAAAAGAAAATCCTAATCCCTATTAATTAAAACCATTTTCTCCACAGTTCATTAGTATGAAATGAGTATTCCAGTTTGTACAGCACACTTAAGCACACATTTTACTTTGGCAAGGTTTATTTTCTCGGTTTGAGGACTGTGAGACTGGCTATTAGACTCCACTTATAGTGTTTTCTTTAACAATATTGCTCCTGATGTGTATCTAAATGGAAGGAAAATGATAGAGTGACGGGAAGATGGTGTGATGACACAAAGAGACAGTTTACTAGGCAGGGTAAAACTTAATATATCTAGAAAATAACCCTCCTCAAAAGTTACTTTTCTCATAAAATGGTCACCTAATTTTATATTTTAGTCTTGTCATATTTTTGTGAACAGTTAAAAAGTTACTTTTCTGGACTGAAGTTTTTGTTGTTGCTGTGGTGGTATCACTCTGCTTCTGTAAGCCCACATCATGACCCTGCATTACTGTCATCAGAAAATATGAAATAAGATATAACTTTTGTAAATATGATTGTAAACTTACAGCATGTAAAACTGTCTGAATATACAAGTTTCCATTTTATGGCATCTGTCATAATGGAACCACCAAAATAAATGCAGACACCTTTTTCCCAGGACAGTGTTTTAAGACTTAAAATGACACAAAAAGTAGTACTTCAGGATGATATTGCTAATTTATGCATTTTTGCAAATATGTAATTTTTAGTCGCTGACAAAAATGTGGCATTACTGAATAAATGTTAGTTATTTGTGCATGCGCAAAATACACATTGTAAAGCCTTCAAATGCATTTCAGTTGTTGTACTGTTACAAAAAGTTTGTAGTAGTATCGCATCTCACTTTTATATAGTGTTAAGATGTCTGCTCTTTAGCTAGTTCAGTGCAGTTTGTCAGTTCTTCTTCACTTTTATCTAAAACACATGTTGAATTTGCATCAGTCCTGCTTTAATGTCCAACTGTAGTGTTTTACAGTATTTATAAAAGAAAACCTGATGGGTTTATAAGACAAAGACTCAAACATTCATCAGTGTGATCAATGCATTGTGATTACTTTTGTAAAACTGAGACAGGGTTTCGCTCCAGTCACACACTACACCAGGTGATTAGCTGCTCCTTCTGATTGGAGGTGCACTGATTCATAAAAGTCTGCACATGCTCTGACCACCACAGCTACTTTATATCAAGCAGACAAAGAGGTTCAGACTGTGGAATTCGACACTGCAGTAAACAGTCAAGACATCTATCTACTCAGGATCTTGGCACTCACAAGCTTGGAAGGTCAGCAGTCCAACAAGCACACATAGCCATCATGAATTTGCAGAGTTCAGCAAGCAAGCAAGTTTCCCTGAACATTGAGATATCAACACTCCCAATGTAGAATTTAGGCTATAAGTGTAAAAGGAGCATCCGATTAACAATGAACATTAACTTTGTGACCTGTCCCTTTATTGTACTGTAAAACTGTGCTGGTTGTGGGGCCTCTGACAGAGCCTAATTTAAAGCATATTTATGTTTTATTTAAGTGTCTTTCTACCATGCATGCTATGTACTTGTATGCTATTTAACAGCATTAAAAGTGGATTTTCTAACATAAAGGAGGTGATTTGAGTCTGTGTTTTGAAGAATTTGACTTAAAGTCTGGGGGGGAGGGGGGAGTCTATTTGGTGTTTTGGCAGGACATGACTAAGGGCCCAGGTGACATAAACAGAGACAAACAGCTGTGCCCTAAAATGAGCCACTTTTATAAACTATAGCTTTTACTGCACTGAAGCCAAGACATGCTCTGTTTAATACTGAATCAACAACATGCAGACTGCACACCTGCAGCAAGGCTGTTTGGCATGGCTGGGTTAAAGAGACTGGCTTTATATCCCATGTCTGCTTTCATTTATTATTTCAATTTGTGTGTGTGTTTTGTGTCTTTCTAAAAATGCAAGGGCCAAAATGCTCTTGGCTGAAAAGCTTGATGAAAAAAAAAGCAATTTTCTTTGGCTTTTAAAGGTTATTTTAATGTTAAGGCTTGGGTAAGGATTCCTCTCAGGGTAACCCTACATGCTAGGTTTAGGGTAACCCAACCTGCCGGCAATGGCGGTCCCCATACTGTATGTAAAACAACAAAATGTGTATCAGTGCAAAAGTTCTTGTACTTCTGCTCTGTGTGCTCACACACTCTCAAAAGTATTATTAGCAGGAGGACATGTGCGTGTGTGTGATTGCAGATTTACAGACCCAGTGCTAGCCCATTACGTTACCCAGTTACTGCGTCTGGCCATGCATGTGATTGGAGGGTAATTGGGCAGTAAACATCTGTGGAAATGTGCAGTAACAATGGCTGCTTGTCGCTTCAGCAAACAGACCATCTCATAAAAACCAAACCTGCAACCGAACCCACTAAACGACTTCACACCCTGACAATTACCACGGCCCAATAAGCACACGCACAAATGTACACAATGAATGAACACACATGCTTTGCACACACAGATGTGTGTGCATAAAGACCCACAAACACACACACGGCCCTGTAAAAACTTAAGAGTGCCAATTCTGATGTCAGTCTCCGCTGTATAAAAGGAATTAAAGCAGCCCGGTGTTTATGTTGTCCCACGGTGTGGGTCCACCCTCAAGAAACCAATTGAGCCTGGATACAGTGAGGGGAAACAACTTATTTTAACTTTAAAGTTATATTCTAAAGTAAGACTTTATGGGGCAAAGTCTACTTTCTCATTGCATTTCAAACAGTTGAAACAAGTTGAATTACACTGGAAATGAAAGTGAAATTATCACACATGGTGAAGAAGTTCTCACTTTTAAAGAATGAGGCATTATTAAGGCTACTGATGAATCAACAAAAACACACAAACTATGAAACTAATGAAAGGTTAAACATTTTGAGTGCATCATGAGGTCAATTGTTGCTTTTTTTCCAAATTAAAACATTATGGACACATTTTGTCTAAAAATGTACAGCAACCCATGACACCAAGTGATATATTTTATTGACTTATTCTTTTTTTTTATCTACTTTTTGAGTTAGAACAGCTTTAAAGAAGTGTGATTTTTTTTCCCCTGGTTGCATAGCTGGCAGCCAGTGGAGACAGGTGTTAGAGTGTTGGCTGATTAGACTGCTAAACTTTATGTTTTCGGGGTTTTTTTGGGCATTGTATTCTTCCTAGCTTCCTCTTGGATGCATGCATCTTATCTTCTGGCACCTGGTCACTAAAGCACCAACCTGGCCTGCACAGCTAAACTGTGTTAACTGGGGGTAATGGAGGGTTGGCACGTGGCTACTGCAAAGATGGCATCTCTATCAGCGGTAACTGCCATATAAGTCCAGTACAAAGCAGTGGCACTGAGCTATAGCCAGTGGGAGAAATGCACCAACATGCACTACAACAAACCAGAGAAACTCACATTACAACGCACACAGAGGATGTGTAATTTCATTCTCTGCTCAGGATGCCATTACTCCACTATAGCTTTGCATAGCAAATAGTTTGCTGTTATATTCATTCTCTGAATGCCTCATACTGAACCACAAAAGACAACAAAGACAGTGAAGTATACTCAAAACACTACTCACCCGACCAAATATCCAGGCTTAAACAGCATCTGACTAAAATCACTTCTTTTTTTTTTTCATTTCATTTAACCTTTATTTAACCAGATAAAAGACCCATTGAGATCAAGATCCTCTTTCACAAGGGTGACCTGGCCAAGAAAGGCAGCAGCACACATCATAATAAATACTACAAATGTAAAGACAGATAAAAAAGATACAAATATAGAAATCTAAACAATATGACAAATAAAGTGCAGGAGTTATGGTTTCAGTAACAGCTTAAGAACAAAAGCACTGTTTGATAGATTCCCGTTCTCTGTCTTTTAGGATAGCGCGAAAGGCTTCAGGTGAAATAAGTTCTAGTATTTTTAGTTCAGATTGGAGAGTATTCCAAGCAGAGGGGGCAGAGAAACTGAATGCTTTTTTTCCCATTTCAGTCCAAACACGATAATAATGGCTTTTAGTTCTCTGAAGAAAAGTCATTATGCCTTACGATCTAATTACATTTTACTTAACTTATTGTCATTTTTGGTTTAGGCAAAGAAAATCTTCTAAATGAATGAAAATATTTCTGTTCCCATTAACATTTTAGTCTTTTGTCTATACTAACCACAAAGTGTCTAAAGAAGTTTATTCTTGGAACACCAGCATTTTGGCAGGAGACAAACACTGGCTTGTGTCTTCTCTCCAACATGTTTCACCTGGACCACTTTGGCAGTGATGTTTAGTTTAAAAACAAAATCCTGAAACTTGAAAGTTGTTTAAGATCAAGTACAAACTACCGATAGTATTTTATTTATTTAGTTTTTGTTTTTTTTTTTCTGTTGATATGAACCCATGTAAAAAAAATAACATGCAAATATTTGAGCTAAAGACCATAGCGGGAAAAAAAAATTAATTACAAAAGAGATAGGCATGAAAATTGAAAGTGTATATGTATATTTTGTAGTAAATATTAGCACGCTAGCTAGCAAGGTAGCTTTTTGTGTCACACTAGGGGCTGCTCACATTCTGCACAAACTCAAACCCTGAATTTGACTAACACACTGGACACACAGTCTGCCCCTCACTCCCTGTCCCTTGCCAACATGCCCCGAGACACACCTGGTGGAGATTTGCACTAAAATGACTGCACTTTTATATTTTGCTCTTTTGATCTTTCAGTGCATGTTTTTTGAAGTGTAACATACACAAAAATGACACTTGTAGCATTTTTCAGACAAACTGCAGCTGGTGGACTAGACTCCATGTGACTTCCAAGCCCTGTGAAGTAAAGTAAACTGGACATAAACAAAGTTGCAGCCTGGTTCAGACATCTGCATCTGTTCATTTATCTCAGCCACCTCAGTGAGCTGTGCTAATGCAGAACAACCTGTGGCTTTGATTCTACTGTGTGTGTGTGTGTGTGTGCGTGTGTGTGTGTGTGTGTGTGTGTGTGTGTGTGTGTGTCATAGTCACACTTCATTAGGCCACAGCAGCAGGCCTTGGTTTAAACAGGTGTCTGGGGGAATGGTGCACACATTTTCTGTCAAAAGGAAGTTGAACATTTATGACAAATTTTCTAATATTCGGCATTTTTTGCAAAACCCTATTTTTTCCTAAAGGTGGTTGGATGGTTGTTGGTTCACTGATTCATCTGGCAGGTTGGTTCAGAGCAAAATACAAGTAATAACCTGTTGAAATACTTGGTATGGATATTCATGGTTTGGGTGAATCCCCTGACACTGTGTGTAGGGCCCATACTAACAAACATATTTACAGGAGTATCTTAAATGTATGGTTTTACAGTTTTACAGTTTTTCTCCACATGATGAACCCATGTATTGATGACCTCTTGACCTTAAGCAGCACCAATAAAGCAGGTCTTTTTTATAAGGAACCCTCATCCAATAAACCACAGGTAATACTGAAGTACAAGTAATAATTCCAGACTGAAACCCTTTCATCAACTTAAAGTCTTGTATTTGCCTTATTTTGTTACTATATCACTACACCTAATCCAACATATCCTCATAATATGGGGTGTATGATAGCTTACGAAAAAGTGCCTACAACGGTTTGTATGATACCTAATGAATTAGTGCCCCACAAATGGCGTCGTAATGTTATATACTTACTGTAAAGCGAGTAAAGTTACCTATGTTAGGTTTAGGAAAAGAAACATGGTTGGGCACCATTAAGTTTCTTTGGTTAGTTTTAGGAAGAGAAACATGGTGACAAGGTACCTTTTTAAAATAACTCAAAGTTCACTTGATTTATCAGTCTCCTGGGGAAGAGTTCCATGTTTTGTGACCAATCCACCACACCAACCTGTCTCATCATGCAGGCCGTCCCTATTCTACTTATACTGCTACTACTTTATCACAGCCTTCCCAATTATACATTTATATACAAATTACTGGCTCATGCTTATGTGTGTCATCAGAGTTGGGTATAACGCGTTACAAAGTAACACGTTAGAGTACTTTGATTACTTTTTGCAGTAACGAGTAACCAAACGTGTTAGTTTGCTGTTTGAGTAATCAAATACTTAAGTACATTTTCGAACAAGACATCAGTTACTTCCGTTACTTTTAGAACGCTGGTCCTTCAGCTCTGAAACAGCAACAACTGTCGTTTGGTTCTAATAACGGAGATAACGTTAAACCTATGAGTCTGAAAGAAGCCACGGAGCTTGTGGCTCGCTACGTGGTCGGAGAAATGCTGCCGTTGTCTAAATAGGTGGAGTCTGAACAGGTGGAGTAGGACTCACTGACAGACATATTTCAGACTCAGGACTTGCATTATGCCTGGTACACGCTACACGCTGGTACTCACCAATTATCCCCGGTCGTCCTTCACGGTGTGTGTGATGTCATCGGGTTATTCTTATCCTATTTTTATTTTACTATTATTTGAGTCACTGTGTCTGTTCATGTGCCAGTCGACATGTTGTTGTAGTCACCTAAAAGCGTCAGCAGATGGCAGGAGCCATGAAAATGTTTCAGAATAAAAGCCTATTTAGAAAATGGAGAGATTCTCTAGCCGAGGTTA